GTTCTCAGGGGTGGGGTCATGATCAAGGGGGCGGTAGGAGGAGGTGTCGGAGAATTGGCGTCTGGCCTCGGTGATGTAGAGGTACAGCAACTCATATTCCGCTTGGGAACCCTGCAGCCCAATGATATCAATGTGGATTTCTCAAGCTTCAAAATCTCCCCTCCCCCTACCGCATCCCAAAACCAGTCCAGCTCGTCCCCGCCTCCCTAACCTGTTCTTCCTCCCACCTATCCCCTCCTCCCACCTCAAGCCGCACCCCATCTCCTACCGACCAACCTCATCCCGCCCCCTTGACCTGTCCGTCCTCCCTGGACTGACCTATCCCCTCCCTAACTCCCCACCTACACTCACCTTTACTGGCCCCATCCCCGTCTCTTTGACCTGTTTGTTTCCTCTCCACCTATCCTCTCCTCTATCCATCTTCTATCCGCCTCCCACTCTCTCCCTATTTATTTCAGAACCCCCTTCCCCTCCCCCTTTTCTGATGAAGGGTCTAGGCCCGAAATATCAGCCTTTCTGCTCCTATGATGCTGCTTGCCCTGCTGTGTTCATCCAGCCCTGCACTTTGTTGAAAGGGAAAGGGTGCTTCAGTTCATAATTGTTGATTAGTGGATATAAGCAGGTCGTCCTGATACTTCTGCACTACACCATCTCTTGAAATTCAAGATACATATTAAATTTTCTGAAGAAGGGTCCAGACCTGAAACGTCAGCCTTCCTGCTCCTCTGATGCTGCTCGGCCTGCTGAGTTCATACAGCTCTACACCTTGTTATCTCAGATTCTCCAGCATCTGCAGTTCTTACTATCTCTAAATTTCTGCTGTTTTTTTTTTCTCATGCTATTCACTGGCATCAAAGCTACTGTAAAGAACTGACCAATGTCAATCAGTTAAAAGTTACAATTGAAATGCTGTTATTGAGGCACCATTGGGAAGTACACCTTTTGCGTTCTCAAGGTGTGTCAAAGGAAAATCATTTTGTGGGCAAAAGAACAAGAAAAAGCCTGAATCTCATGTCACATTCTGAGCTTCATTCTAATCTTCCAAAGAAGCACCTCAAGTATGTTCATCTCATGGAATATGAAGCACACGATTGAGCAGAGTGTACTGGTCGATGTACAGAGCTTAATCCAACAGTAGCAGGTAGTTCTGGGGCAGAAGGAGTAGGAACAGGTTATCCAAAAGGTTAGAACATTATTTTTCTTCAGATACTGAAGTAAAAAATTTAGGCCTCGGGGGTTTTAACAGAATGCTTGTCAAGTATGAATGACTGATATATGAAATCCTACAGAAGCTGCATAGCATGGAAAAGTTGATGATTTGCAGAGTAATGCAACAGCCTATGGGATATGTCGCAATTCAAAGGACAGTTACGCAGGCACTATTTAGACAAGCGTGTCATCGCAGCACAAGATTAGATTAAACACCTCAGTAGGACACTGTGACCAGAAGGAAATACCGAAGTAGCAAATAATTGTTATGTGCACAGTGAGGATGCCACGCAGTGTAAACTGGTTAATCAGAAATTGCAATCTTGTTAAAAACATGAGTTAACTGATCACAAGTAAGTTTGAAATTCATTTATTTTGATGCAGTATATAATTAGACAGAAAAAGAGGTGTAATGCAGATTATTCTTTCAGATGATGTTGTATATGAAGTGTGAGAAAATTTTTACAAAGTATTTGGCTTATATTATGAAAGAAAATGTAACAACATTGATGGAAGGTTGAATGCTGCACTGGAAGAAATGAGACAAGGCTAAGTGGGCTAAGTGCTGCTTAGATTAGAAAAGGGTTGGAAGTGGTATATCCATGATCAGAATTGTTCTCGGTATGATATATAGTCATAGAGTCCTACAGCACATAAACAGATGCTTCAGTCCAACTCGTCCATGCCAACTAAGTTTCCCAAACTAAACAAGTCCCACTAACCTGCTTTTGGCCCATGTCCCTCTAAACCCTTCCTATTCATGTACCAGTCTAAATGTCTTTTAAATGTTGTAACTGTACCTGCATCTACGACTTCCTCTGGCAGTTCATTCCACATACGAACCACCATGTGCGAAAAAGTTCCTTCAGGTTCATTTTGAATCTTTCACCCATCATCTTAAAAATATACCCACTGGTTTTGAACTCATCCACCCAAGGGAAAAGACCTTTGCTTTTCATCTTATCTATGCCTCTCTTGGTTTTATAAATCTCTGTATGGTTACCCCTCAACCTCCTACACTCTAGTGAAAAGAGTCCCAACCTATCCATATAACTTAACCATTCCAGTCCCAGCAACATCCTGGTAAATCTTTTCTGAACCCTCTTCAATTTAATAATATCCTTCCTATAGCTGGAGGACCAGAACTGAGCATAGGACTCTAAAAGTGGCTTCACCAATGTCCTGTATGACCTCAACATGATATGCCAACTCCTATACTCAATGCCCTGAGCAATGAAGGCAAGTGTGCAAAATGCCTTCTTAACCTTCCTGTCTACCTGTGACACAACTTTCAAAGAACTATGTACCTGAACCCTTGGGTCCCTCTATCTGACAACAGCGCCATTAACTATATAAATCCTGCCCTTGTTCCAAAATGCAATACTTCGCATTTATCCAAATTAAACTCCTTTGCCACTCCTTAGTCCCTTGGCTAAATTGATCAAGATCCCTTTGTAATTTTAGACAACCTTTTTCACAGTCAACTATACACCAATTTTGGTGTCATCCAATAACTTACTAATCATGTCTCCTAAATTCTCATTCAAATCATTTATATAAACGACAAGCAGTGGTGGCAGCACTGACCCCTCTGGAACACTGCTGGTCACAGGTGTCCGGTCCAAAAAAAACATGCCAAACTAGCCTGTCTCCTACCATCAAGCAAATTTTGTCTCCAATTAACAAACTCTCCCTAAATCCCATGTGCTTTAACTTTGCTAATCAGTCTACTATGCAGAACTTTGTCAAAGGCCGAACTAAGTCTATATAGACAATGTCTATCGCTCTGCCCTCAATCCTTTTGGTTATGCCCTCAAAAAACTCAATCAAGTTTGTGAGGTAAACTGGTTTGTCAGCACAACACAATGCTGACTAACCCTAATCAGTCCTTGCCTTTCCAACTGCATGCAAATATTATCTTTCAGAATCCCCTCCAACAATATACCCACCACTGATGTCAGACTCATTGGTCTATAGTTGCCAGACTTTTCCTTACAGCCTTTCTTAAATAAAGGCACAACATTAGCCAGACTGCAGTCCTCCGGCACCTCACAAATGGATATGAATGATACAAATTTCTTTACTGGGGCCCAACAATTTCTTCCCTAACTTCCCACAACGCTCTGGGACACACTTGATCGCTCCCAGAAATTTATCCATCTTTATACTTTTTAAGACCTCCAGCACTTCCTCTTCTGCAATGTGAACTGTTTTCAAAACATCAATATTTATTTCCTTAAGTTCCCTAGCCTATGTAGTGAAGATCCGAGTACAAGGACAATCAACTGTTGTCATAAAAGTCAAAATCTGGAAAAGACTTTAGGAACTTGGGGACAGGTTAACATAATGTACATACTGATTACACAGCAAGGTAGCATAGCTTGGGAGGACAAAAGGAATGCAAGTACGGAAAGGTGCTGAATGATAACAATGAAAGAAGACATCTAATGGCTTAGCTACATAATTCACCATAATTGAGTGGAGTTACTAAGATCATAAGAAGAATGACAATTTGTGGTTTAATAGAAAATGCAATAACAGAGACGTATTGATAAATTTGTACAAGGCAATAATTAGACAACATTACACAGCTTAAAATTCTCCATTGTAAAACCACATTAAAGTAATACAGATCATATAGCACAGCTTCACCAGAATGATAACAGGGATTAGACACTTAAGATATTTGGACTATTTCTACAGGTGTCAACAAAACTAAGACAAGATTCAGTACAGAGTTTTAAATTCTGGTGAGCTTGATAGATCAAATAAGGTAACATCGCTCCCTTTGGCCATAGGCTCAGTGGTAATAGCTCATCAGCTAAAAGTTATCACTAACTACACGAAAAGTTAGGTTAGGAGAAATTGTTAATGTAGAAAATTGTTGCAGCGTGGAAAGCTTTGCCACAGTAACTGATTGAAATAGAGATCAATGGACTTTTCATGGAATAAAAATGGATAAAATTGAAACAAATGATGACGCAGGTCTGTGGAGAGAGCCCTGTCACAGAGATTTTAAATTTGCAATGCTTTAGCAAAGAGTTGGTATGGATACAGTGTCCTGAATGACATCCTTTAATATTGAAAATTCTCTATATTTCAATGGAGAAGTAAAAACTTCAAAAAGCAGTGTGCTGGGAATGAAAAATGGACTAACTGTGCAAGAAAGTGAAACAGATCAAGCAAGAAAGCAATAAATATCAGCAACCACTTGCAAGTAAAATAGATAAATGCATTATGAGATTCACCAGAGCTGAAAAGTTGGAGGGCAAGGACATTCTCTAAATTGAGTTCAAAGGCAGTTGAGCCAAAACAAGCTCCTATATCATGTTTTTCAAGGAAAGATTCAACATAAAATTGAAAATTACACAAATCACAACAAACACATATATTTTGACTTTACATTTAAAATCTGTTTATTTCAAATATCTGAATGCCCAAACTGTCTGATTTAAATGAATGTTCTGCATTATTATTTTATAAGTTTCAAATCATTTTTTCAGACAACAAAATGTCTTACGATAGGGCATCATCACTGAAGTGCAACGTAGCTGTGCTCACCTCAGCACTTGCAACTCTTCTTCAGAGTTCTGAATCTCATCTCGGAGCCTTCGCCATCGCAGCAGGGACTTCAGTTGATGCTGATCTTTTGCTGCTTCCTCTGAGAGCTAGAAAAATATATTAAATTAGAATGTGCATTCTAATTAAAAGTGAAAAATACATTGATTGATACATCAAAGAAACAAAAGAACTGAAACATTCAGAATTCTTCTCAATATTAAACCTGTTAAGTAGACCATGATTAGAAAAATGCTGAATTATATTTGGGCTTTACTCACCTCCTTCCATTGAACTGGTAACTGGAAAGATTCACAGAAAATGAAGGGGCAGCACAGGAGCACAGCTCTGCTGCTTCACAGAGCCAGGGGCCCAGGTTCAATTCTGTCCTCAGGCAACTGTCCATGTGGAGTTTGCACATTCTCCTCATGTCTGCATGGGTTTCCGCCAGGTGCTCCAGTTTCCTCCCACAGTCCAGAGAATGTGCAGGCTAGGTGGACTGGCCATAGTCAATTATCCCGTACTGGCCAGTGATATGCAGGCTAGGTAGATTAGCCAGGGGAAATGCCGGGTTACAGGAATGGGGGCAGTGGGATGCTCTTCGAAGGGTCAGTGTGGACTCGATGGGGTGAACGACTTGTTTCCACACTGTAGGGATTTCTATGAATCGAAGAAAGAACAATGACTAACTTTCTTTCCATCATTAATCAAATCCCTACAGTCAGGAACAAGACCATTTGGCCCATTGAGTCTGCACCAACCTGCCGCTAAGCATCCCAGCCATACTCAGCCCCCCATCCCTATCCCCATAACCCTGCATTTACCATGGCTAACCCACCTAGCCTGCACATCCCTAGTCACTACAGACAATTCAGAACGGTCAATCCACCAAACCTGCACATCTTTGGACTGTGGGAGGAAACGGAGCACCCAGGAGAAACCCATGCAGACAGGGGGAGAACTTGCAAACTCCACACTGTCACCAAAAGGTGGAATTGAACCTGGGTGCCTGGCACTGTGAGGCAGCAATGCTAAGCACTGAGCCACCCGATTCCTTGAATAAAATCTTGCTTACAATGTAAGGTATATTTATAAAATTTGAATCCCTAAAAATTGTTTGTTATTTTCTTTTTAAAATGGAAGTCTAGAGAAAATTGTGCAGATTCATTCAGCTGTCTAAAACATATTCAAATTTAATTAATTATTCTTGGCGAAGTATGAGGGCAAAATTTTAAACCGCGACACAATGTTGACAAGACTGACAGCAGAGTTTGGAAAACACAACCCATCAATTTATAGACACAATTTAATTTGACTCCTTACCCAACTCTGATTGGTAATCTTGACTTCATAAGACCGTAAGACGTAGAAACTGAAGTTGCCCATTCAGCCCATTGAATCTACCATTCAATGAGATCATGGTTGATCTGATAACGTTCAACTCCACTTTCTTGCCTTATCCTCATTATCCTTGATTCTCTTACAGATTAAAAATCTGTCTATCTCAGCCTTGATTATACTTAACGATCCAGCCTAAATAGCCTTCTGCTGCAAAAAAATTCCACAGATTCACAATCCTCTGAGAGAAGAAATTACACCTCATCTCTGGCTTAAATATGCAACCCCTTATTCTGAAGTTGTATATTCTGGTCATGGAATCTCCCACAAGGGAAAACAATCTTTCCATATACATGTGTCAACACCTCAATCTTATATGTTTTAATAGGATCTAAAAGATCTTAAGACTTAGGAGCAGAAATTTAGGCATTTGGCCCATTGAGTCTGCTCCACTGTTCAATCATGGCTGATAAGTTTCTCAACCCCATTCTCCCACTTTCTCCCCCGAACGCTTGATCCCCTTGACAATCAAGAACCTATCTATCTCTGGCTTAAATGTATTCAATAACCTGGCCTTCACAGCCGTCTGTGGCAATGAATTCTGTAGATTCGCCACTCTCTAGTTTTTCTTTATCACCATTCTAAAGGGTCTTCCCTTTACTCCAAGGCTGTGCCCTTGGGCCCTAGTCTCTCCTGTCAATGGAAATATCTTCCCAACGTGCGCTCTATCTAGGCTGTTCAGTATTCTGTAAGTTTCAATTATATCCCACCTCATCTTTCTAAACTCCATGGATTATAGACCCAGAGAGTTCAAATGCTCCTAATAGGTTAAGCCTTTCATTCCTGGGATCATTCTTGTGAACCTCATCTGGACCTGCTCCAGGGCCAGTATATCCTTCCTGAGGTATGGGGCCCAAAATTGCTGACAATACTCTAAATGTGGTCTGACCAAAGATTTCTAAAGCTTCAGAAGTACATCCCTGCTTTTAAATTCTAGTCACAGAATCCCTAGTGTAGAAACAGGCCATTCTGCCCATTGAGCCCACACCGCTCTCCGAAGAGCATCCCACCCAGACCCACCCCACTACCCGACACTTGCATTTCTCACCCTAGACACTATGGGAAATTTAACGTAGCCAATCCACCTAACCTGTTTTGGACTGTGGGTGGAAACTGGAGCACCGGGAAGAAACTCACGCAGACACAGGGAGAACATGCAAACTCCACACAGACAGTTGCCTGTGGTTGGAATCGAGCCCTGTGAGGCAGCAGTGCTAACCACTGAGCCACCATGCCGTCCTCTTGAAATAAATGCCAACATTGCCTTCCCAATTACCAACCCAACTTGCAATTTTACCTTATGAGAATCCTGGACTACGACTCCCAAGTCTCTTTGCACTTCAGATTTCTGAATTTTCTCCCCATTTAGAAATTACCCTATGCTTCTATTCCTCCTACCAAAGTGCATGACCTCACACTTTCCCACGTTGTATTCCATCTGCCACTTCTTTGCCCGCTCTCCTAACCTTTCTAAATCCTTCTGCAGCCTCCCCACCTCCTCAATACTACCTGTCCCTCCACCTATCTTTGTATCATCTGCAAACTTAGCCAGAATGCCCTCAGTTCCTTCATCTAGATAATTAATGTACAAAATGGAAAGTTGTGGTCCCAACACTGACCTTGTGGAACACCACTTGTCACTAGCTGCCATCCTGAGAAGGACCCTTTTATCCCCACTCACTGCTTTCTGTCAGACAGCCAATCTTCTATCCATGCTAGCACCTTGCCTCCAAAACCATGGGCTATTATCTTACTCAGCAGCTTCCTATGTGGCACCTAGTCAAAGGCCTTCTGAAAGTCCAGGTAGATAATATCCATTGGCTCTCCTTGGTCTAACCTGCTCGTTACCTCCTCAAAGAATTCTAACAGATTTGTCAGGCATGACCTCCCCTTCATGAAACCATGATGACTTTGCTCTATTTTACCTTATACTTCCAAATATTCAGAAATCTCATCCTTCACAATGGACTCCAGTGATTCTTGAAAGATCACCACTGACTCCTCCACTATCTCTTCGGCTATCTCCTTCAGAACTCGGGGGTGTAGTCCATCTGGTCCAGGTGAATTATCCACCTTCGGACCTTTCAGTTTTTCCAGCACCTTCTCCTTGGTGATGGCCACTATACTCACCTCTTGAATTTTTGGGATATACTCGTGTCATCCACAGTGAAGACTGACGTGAAGTACTTGTTCAGTTCCTCAGCCATTTCTTTGTTCCCCATCACTACTTCCCCAGCATCATTTTCCAGTGGCCCAATGTCCACTTTTGCCGCTCTTTTGCTCTTTGTATATCTAAAGAAACTCTTAAAGAAGATCACTTCTCATTCTTCTAAATTCCAATTAATACAGGCCCAACCTACTCAACCTCTCTTCATAAGACAGTCCCTTCATACCTATTATCAACCTAGTGAACATTCTTTGGACTGCCTCCATTGCCAGCATATCTTTCCTTAGATAATGGGCCCAAAACTATTCACAGTATTCTAGCTGTGGTCTGATTGGTGCCTTGGATAATTTTAACAAAACCTCTCTACTTTTATACTCCAGTCCCTTTGAAATAAAGGCTAACATTCAAATTGCCTTCCCCATTACCCACTAAACTTGGAATGCTAGCATTTTATGATTTATGGACAAGGATTCCCAAATTGCTCTATTCTGTAGCTTTCTCTAATCATTTTCTTTTTGAATAATACTCAGTTCCTCTCTTCTACTGTGAAGACTGATGCAAAACATTCATTCAACACTTCTGCCATTTCCTGGTTACCCAGTGTCCTTCTTCAAGGGGTCTAAGTTCACTTTGGCTTCTCATTTTGTTTTTATATATATTTTTAATAAGTTCTTATAGTCTGTCTTGATATTTTGCATGTTTACCCTCAAGGTTTATTTTATGCCTTTTTTTTATTATCTTTTATTGGTTTTTGAAACATGCCCAATTTGCTGGCTTAGCACTAATCTTTGCCACATTGTATTTTTTTTCTCTTTCAAAGTGATGCTATCCTTAACTTCCCTGGCTAACATCTTTCTAGAATCCTGCTTTTTCACTGACATATATCTTTCCTGTGAGCCATGAACTATTTTCTTAAATTTCTGCCATTGTTCCTCAAACATCTTTGCTGCTAAACACCTTCCCTAGTCCATTCCAGCCAGTTCTGACCTCATTCCTTTCTCAATACCATTATTTAAGCTGAGCATAATTGTTTCCAATGCAAGTTACTCCCTCTCACACTGAATGTTAGATTATATAATGTTATGGTCACTGTATTAAATCTGTCTCAACACACATCATCAAACTCAACCAGGCTACCTTTGAATCTGAAGGTTTCAGGTACATAGTTATCAATCTACTCCGTATCCAATCTGCTTGCACAGGTGAATGACTTAATGCAATTAAGTCAAATATTGCAACTTTTATATGAATATGCATTCTTTAGACTCAGAAAATCCAAACAAAACCATGAAAATTTATATAACAGCCACCAGCTGTTCATAATTCCAGTCTACAACTCAACTCTTATCATAAAAGTGCTTGTTTTGGATAATGACAAACAGACTTTGAATTTTGAAAATTAGCTACACACATGATAGTTATTTTCTGTTCACCTCAGCAAGGTACAAAAAAAATCTCTTGATTACTCATTCTTTAATCTCACTTTCATTTTTTTCTGGATAATACAGATAATTTCCACTATGGTATCCATATTTTACTACTTTG